GCAGCTCACACCTGTAATTCCAGCATTTTGGAGGCTGAAGCAGGAGGGTTACCATTAGTTCCTGTTCAGCCTTGGCTGCATAGTTAGTTCAAGACCAATCTGAACTACAAAAAGCGAATAGAGAGATCTTGTGTATCCTGTTTTGAGTATTTGTCTTCTTTTGGTACTTTTGTAGTTTCTACTCTTACATTCATATCTTTAATGCATTGTGTTCTTCTCTCTCTCCTGGTAATAGCTTCTGCTATCATCCATCTGCATGCAGATACACCCACTTTTCTCAGTACCATTTATTTCTTATTAATTTCTGTATTTTATCCTTTTTTTTTTTTTCAGTATCAGGGGTAGAACTCAGGACCTTGCACTTGCCAGGCAGGTACTTAATCCACTGAGCTATCTCCCTGCCCAATTTCTGTATTTTGATTAAACTGACAGCTTCAAGCATGCTAGACAAGCATTCTGTTGCTGAGCTATATCTTCAGCCCTTTTAGTTTTTTTTTTTTTTTTTTTTTTTTTTGTCGGGGGGTAGGGTAAGTCTTGGTAAATTACCGAGAATAGTCTTCTATGGTCTTCCTGTCTCAGCCTTCTGAGTTGCTGGGATTAGAGATATGCACTACCATGTCCTTCCTCCCAACATCATTTATTATGAAGATGATTATCCTTTCTACTTGGGAGGCTGAAGCAAAAGGATCACAAGCTCGAGACCAAGATTATATGACAAGACCCTGTTCCAAAGTAAAAAGGCTGGGTATGTAGCTCAGTGTACAAGTCCTGGGTTAACTCCCCAGGACTACACTGTAAAAATATAAGACTGTCCGTGCTTTTAAGGAGAAGAATGGTATTTCCATAGGTATTGCGCTGAATGCGTAGGTTGCTTTGAGCAGTCTGAAAAATTTAACATTATAGATTTTTACCACCCAAGTACAGGGTATCTTTACATTTTTTATGTTGTCTTCTTGAATTTTTTCATCAGTGTTGCAGTTTTCATTTTGGAGCTCTTTTATCACTGGTGAAATTTGTATCTAGGTGTGCATTTGTTCATTCATTGTAACTACTGAAAATGGGAGATTGTTTATCTGTACTTCAGAGAGTTGGTTATTGGAATATGACAGTGTTGCTTATTTTTGTACATTAATTTTCTATCCAACAACTTCATTAAATATATGAGTTCTTACAGTTTTTTGGCAGTGTGTTTGGAATTTTTTGTACATATGATCATATCATCATTTTTGTTACTTATTCTTGTATTGAAGACTGTGTCCTTCTTAGCTTTTTAAAAAGAATAACAAATAATTTTTAAAAGCCTTAGATATAATACAGACTTGAAGATGATTTAGGAATTGAACAATGGTTGTTGTAATGCATATTGTTGTCCTAAAGTAGTTTTTCAGATTTCTGGATATAAACATGCAAAAGTGATCAAAAGCTTAAGCATCTAACTGTTCTTTCAATAAACCAGTGTGTGTGTGTGTGTGTGTGTGTGTAGAGCTATTCAGCATCACTGCCCATACATCTCCTTTCTTTTCTCCTTTCCCCTCATCCCAGTTGTGGAAAAAAAAAAAAAAAAAAAAAAACCAACCCAGAAGTCATGTCACCCACAGTGAGTTTGATTTCCTCTTTCCCAGTCACTTGCCCTTTGTTTCTTTCTCTTGTTTCATTGCTCTGGCAGGGACTTCCTGTACTGTGCTGACTGAAATTGGTGTGAGTGAGCATCCATGTCTTGTTCTTAGAAGAAAAGCCCCCAGCTTTTCCTAGCCCCACATAGTGTGACAGCATACGGCCTTCATTATGTGGAGGTACAATCCTTCTGCACCTAATTTGCTCAGTCAGTGTTTGGATTTTTTATCATGGATAAAAATCTGAATTTTATCCAATATCTTTTCTGCATCTATTTAGATGATTATATGATTTTTGTTCTTCATTCTGTTGATGTGATATAACATTTCATTGATTTCTGTGAACTGAATCAGAATTCTATGCTTTATCAGTTGTTCTTGAATAAATTGTAACACTCTCCAGACTTCATTTTCTTCAGTATAAAATTAGACATTTTCACTGGCTGATTTTTAAGCCTCTTAATTTGTATCAGTTGGGAAGTCTTTGACCATTTATTGCACAATGTAAATATGGCTATGTGATCTCAGCAGTTTTATTCTACCGTTAAAACCCACCACAATGAATATAAAAGAATTAATAAACATAGAATGCTGTGAAAAATCAAAAGAAAGAGTGAGACACCGGAAGACAAAGTTAGCAGTAGTTTGGTACCTGCCCAGTGTGTGGATAGATGGGTGTGTCACAGGAATCAGGAATGAAAAGCACTGAGCATGCAGGGCCAGACCCAGGCGATCTGATGTCTGCTCTTTAGTGTCTGAAGACCTGAAACAGTCTCGGGAATTCCAGATTTCACTTATTGAGATAGGGAATTTAGTGGAACTAAAAAGGGACACTTGGCTGGAGGTTCCTGTTGTCCACGAGCTATTGAATTGTCAAATATTCTCCTCCTCTGATCAGATCAGGCCTCTGCCCTTCCTTCCATACCCAAGCACAAGACAAGTGATTTCCCAAAGATGTAGAGTTAGAGAAGCCTTCAGTTCTGAGATGTAGGTGTTTCTGAGAGTGAGGACCAACTTTTGTGCTGAGAATAAGGGAAATGTGTCCTTCAAATGAAAGTATTCATGCTTAGTGATGGATGTAGGATTCTGACAGCTTGGCTTTCAACTCCTACTAGGAGACAGGAGATCCTCTGGGAGAGGCCTTGACTAAGAGAAGGGAGGTAGATGGGTTGTGATGTTGAATAGCTCTTCGTGAAAACTGTGGGCTTCTGTTTGTTTAGTCCATGTGTGAAAGCAGAACTCTAGCCAGCATTTTGGAGCCCCACTCTTACATCTAAAGCCAGTAGCACAGAGTAAACAGTGATCTGAGGATAGCCTAGGATATAGGAGGAGACAGATCACAAACTGTGGCAGAGGAAGCCCTTGATGTGGCCAGTGCTATAAATTCCCATGCAGAGAGGGGTTGCTGCAATTAATATCTCCAAAATGATACCACTGAGCTACATCCCAAGCCCACTATCTCCAAAATGATAAAACCCTAATGTTTCCATGAAATCTAAATAAACAAAATGCCATAAAAAGAACAAATATAGAAAGTCATATTATTAAACACTTGATAGCAGAAATGAAAGAACAAGTACGACAGAGTTAGGAAGAGTGAAAGAGACTTAGAGATCCAACACAGAAGACCAGTACCCGAATACTAGTAATTTTCAGAAAGACAAAGCAGAGAAAATGGACAGTAAGAAGATAGTAATAGATGGGAGAAGACACTCTTCCCCCTGTAATGCTTAACACATTGTGGCAGCTTGAGAGGTTCAGAGGTTTAGCTAAGTGACCCTTCAGGGCCAGCGTCCTCACTTTGTAAACATCCCGAGCCTGTGAGGAACAGAACAGGGAGACTGTGAGAGTGCGACCCCCACTGTCGGGTGTGGCTTGCGTACCGGATAAGGAAGGCCAAGAGGCTTGCTCCCTTTTTGCTCCTGTTGCTCTGTTGTCCTCTGCAGCCTTGAGCTGCTGCCTCTGTGCCGTACCGCCCTCCTTGGAGCCAGCTGAGTATGGGCTGCAATCTCCACAAACTGAGCTAAATGAACCTTTCTTTCCTTCATTTTGGTTGTCGGGTATTTTGCCCCAGCAATGAGAGAAAAGTAACTAAGACATCTCCCTCTGCACCTTTTAGTAGTTTTTGACTTTTTAAACTCTTTCAGTGTAACTTTTATATTTAAGAAAATTACTTAAATTTTAAAAAGCAAAAAGTAATTGCATATTAAGGTTAAAATGTATAGTTGATTTGTGATTGAAGACCAATGAAATTAAAACTGGGCAAGGAAAAAATACCATTTTGATTTTTCTAAAATGTTAACTAATTTCAAGAAAATTACTTCAATTGCCATAGTTAGATAAATTGGGGAACAATTTTCTCTTAAAAACAGCAACAGCACAGCAGTGGCATAGAGCGCTGCAGAAGCAGTAACTACACACAGCTTCTAATCAAGAATCTTGCCAAAGACAGCAGCTTCCTTCTGGTAAACAGGATGAATTCTACGCGGGTTCTAGAGTTATCTTCATTATAGTAAACCTTTTAAATTGTATGAAATTCCTAGTCATGCCTCTTTTATTTAAGATATATTTATTGAGTGTCTATTAAGTGCTAAGCGTTATTCTAAAGTATTTATTTGTATGGTATTGATCCACTTTAATTCTCAGAGCATCCCTGAGAGTAAGCTCTTGTCTTCATCCCTGTTTCACAGTCGAGGGAACTGAATATCCTGAAGACAGGTAACTTACGCAGGATCATTCAGTTGCTAAGCAGGAGAAGGTCCTAAACCATGATAGTTTAATCACAGAGCCATGTGCTCAGTGAATTCACTTCTATACTGGTCATGAAATAAAAGGATGCAGACACGTAAGTTAAGCAAATAGCTAGCACCAACCTGTCTAGTCCTTCTGTAACAGATGAATGAATCTTGTTGTGAGGCTCTGTCAGCCACTGAATTCCTTATCTGAGTCAGGCCACTTATTGTTCAGAACACCTATCTGAGTGCTGACCAAGTGCAAGGACTCAAGTATTCACTGTTGAATAAGCTAGTTGGAGCATGCCCCAGTGTTTCTGGCGTTGCTGTCTTCATCTGTACTGTATCTGTGTCCTGTCATCATTCATAGTGGACATGAACCCAATAATTAAGGGAAATGAGTTCCATTCATAATTTATAAAAATACAACAGCACTTTGATAGGCATAGAATGTATTTCTAAATTCACAATTTTTTAGTTTCATTTTGTGTAATTTGTAGAACACTTTACATTATGATGCCTGTAGCAGTAACTTAAATATTTGTCATCAATGAATAAAGCATAGCATACTGTAGTATTTCCTAATGTTCGAGATTGGCAAACTTCTGTAAAATATGAATGTTACAAATTTGGTTGGTTGGTTTGTTTTTCCTAGTTCAACTTTGTGGGGAAACTTTTGGGTCCACGTGGCAATTCTTTGAAGCGTTTACAAGAAGAAACCTTGACAAAAATGTCCATCCTTGGAAAAGGTTCCATGAGAGACAAGGCTAAGGTAATACTCACTGTAGACAATGGCAACTTATCTGGCCAGGTAATACTATTAATTATAGATCATGGTTTGCTTTGATACATATTATGTAAGAGCTATCTCTGATCTCAAGTGCAGTTAAAGGAAAATGTTATATAAGTTGATACATTTGTGATGCTGTTTAGAAAATTGTTACTTTGGCCAGCTTCAAAATGTACAGTATCTTAAACCCATATTTGTAACTATTACATTCATATATAAAATATAATTACATTTTTGATTCTCTAACATATCATCTTATGGGTACTATTATTAATGTTAAAGTTATCATGAAGATTTTGCCATCAGTGTGTGCATTTTATATTACTTCATTTAGATTTCATTCTGTTTCAAATACAGTCATGCACTGCGTAATGACATTTTGACCAATAATGGGCCCCTTGTATGACACATTGCCTATTATGTTGTAGCTATTGTGGTTTGTGTCACTGCACACTATGATGCTTAGACAGCATGGAAATTGCCTTGCAGTGCCTTTCTCAGAAGGTAGCCCTGTCCTAAGTAGTGCTTGGCTGTAGCTGAATTTATAGTGCATATATACCTTTGGCTCTTTTATTAATATTATATGCATTTATGATATTCAAATTCATTTAAATGTTTTAATATTCATTTATCATACTTGATGTATGTATGCTAAATGTTCTGCTTTTTTCACAAGTTAGAAGATTTTTACCAATCATCTTAAATTTCTGAGTTTGTCACATATCATAATGTGTCACTTATGTTATTCTCTATTGTCACTTATTTTCTCATCATTAAAAGATTTATAATATTGAGAACTGAGTTCATAGTGATCGCTATCATGAAATGTTAGACATTTGGGTTTTTAATATGAAAATTATTGAGATGAAATCTAGCTTCTTTCAACAAATTCCATTGAAGTAATAGCTTTTATAATAACAAATAGTCATCTAATGTTTATTTAACAGACAGTGAGAGTCAGTCACTGTGAGACATTTTCCACACAATACTCCGTTATATCCTTGGGAAAAAAATTATAACAGGAAACATTTTTATTCTCTTGCATGTAAGATACTAACATCCAGAGAACTTGAGTTAACTGGAGAAATTCATTATAAAAGTTCTCTTGCAAAGATCACCATCACTGTGAGCATTTTAGATTAGTTCCTTTAGGTCTTTCATTTCATTTCCAGTACAGCCATGCATGGAATAATGACATTTTGAACAATAACAGACCATATACATGACAGTGGTCCCTTAGATTATATTGCCTAGTGAAGTTTCAGCTTTTAATACAGTTAATCAGCCCTTTCTTTTCCTGACTCAAGCACTCATATGTTATCAGACTTTTGGGTAGTACTGTTTTAAAGCGTAGATTCCAATGCTCAAGCTTACTTAAGGAGAAACTCTGCTTTCAGTATATGTTTAGAATGATTCTTACACCTGACCAGGTTTCCCTTGGCCTTGCTCGCTGCTTGCCTAAGCATTGCTGTCCCAAATGATGTTACTTTGGTTCCCTAGCTTAGCTGTTCTGGCAGTAGGAGAAGGTTAGCCAGTTGGTCCAAGCTTGCGTGCCCTTGAGGAAGGTGCTGCATATTTGCTGGTATCCGAGTTCAGATCTTAATAGGGCTGTCTCGTAATGAGTTACCTGACAAGTGCAGTGATCCTACAGACAGAAATCGCTGAAGGAATCCTTTGGTCAGAAGTCGTCTTTGTGTCCTATAGTGGCCGTGATCAGGGCACCCATCCAAGTTTAGAGCTGGAAAGGAAGTAAGAAAGCCAGTATCCAGGTGCTGTGTCCAAGTAACAGAAGTGCTTGCCTATCCATACAGTGAAAGAGAGCCTAAATGGTAGCAACCTGCTAATACAGTTTAGTTGTCCTCCTAAATTTTGGTGCCACTCTGAGGCTTGTGGCTATTTGCCTTTGGTGCCCAGCAATGGCAGTCATCCTCAAAAACAGAGTAGTCTGTTGTGCAGTAATGCCGAGCTTCTGTTTTTGTGACTGTGGATGCTTTAGGAATACCCAGAGCAGCACTGAAATGGCTGAGGCTTGAAATCCTTAAATATCTGCCTGTAAGTCTGGCCACTACCAGGTCACTGCATATGTGCTACACATTGGTTTGGGCCAATGATACTGTGGTATCTTTCCTAGACACTTGTCCATTCAGTAATCCTCTCATCTCTATGTCTTTGAAAATATAGATCACCAAATAGCAGGGTGATTCTGCAGCTGGTGATCATTCTCATTCTATTAAGACACCAACAACTAGAAGCAAAATGAATACCTTCATTGTATGATCCACTCAACCTAGAGTCCATGGACCAGGATCAAAAGCCCATGCATCTCTTGGCTTCATAGTCCTCTCTGATCAGTGGCCCTTAGCAGAACAGCATTGTATCAGAGTTAATTGCATTAATTCTCAACTCATCTGTGTATTTATACTCCTCTCTGTGTAGTCGCTGCAGTACAAGGTCCGAGGTTCTTCCTGGAAGATTAGGAGGAAGTGTCACACACTAGGAGATATAACAGTTACCAAATACATGTACTCCGTACCTCTAGATTTGAGTTAGTTTTCTAATGCCCTGCATCATAGAACAACCAGAGATCTGCCATAGGGCAGGAGGAAGTGAGGAGCAATAGGAAGGCATGAGAATTGGTGTCCCATCCCCTTTTGTGGAACTCTGTATTAGAGCAGTCTAGGGAAAGCCTCACCAGATAAACTAGCAGTGTGCAAGGCTTCTTGGGAGTTTGGCATTTGGATAATCAGCACTTGCACAATCCCAAATGTTGCCAATCCTTTCCTATTTTCACTGTTAACCAAATATCCTAAATCTCAGGTAAGAGAGAGAGAGTTGTCTGTGTTGCTATTCAGCTAGGACATAGGTGTTCTCTGCATCTCTGTCGACCTTTGGCCAGCATCAGTAAACCCTTTTAGAATACTTCTGTCTCTTTGGGCCTCTGACTACCAACACAATATCAGATTCCTGTCACTATAATAAATATTTGAAATAATCAACTTACAAAACAGAAAGATGCATTTTGGCTGACAGTTTTGGAGCTACCAGTCCATGATGGGCTCTTCCCATCGTTATTGGGCCTGAGGTGAGGTGGTGCACAGTGCACTGTGACCGTCCACACAGCACAGCACAGCACAGCACAAGAGGCCATCTCTCAGCCAGGAAGCCAAGAGAGTAGGGGCCTGGGTCCCTCTGTTCCCTTCAGTGGCAGGGTCCCTTTGACTTGAAGACTTCCTATTGGACCCTACATTTTAGAGGTTCCACCACCTCCCAACAGAGCTTCCTAGTGATGAAGTCTTTAACACAGAGACCTTTGGGGACACTCAAGGTTCAAGTCAGAGCAAGCCCTGAGCCTATCGTTTTCTTTGGAAAAGTCTTGAGTGCAGTAAGCAGCAGCCGGCTCTCTCCACACCAACAGTGTTCTCTTCCTCATGGTGTCACGCTGTGCTGTTGACTCTGCCGTGTGATCCATCATTTAAAACGCCGAAGATTTGCTCGGCAGGTGACAGGAAATCATTTAAGTGATATGCTTGTTACCTAAATGGGTGCTATCAACATCCCATCTGCTGTATTACAACCAGATTCCCAACTCCTCCAACTGTAGAATGTTGGTGAAAATTGATCATCTTTATTTAGCTACAATCCATAGAAATCCTCAGTTAATAATGTAATTATTTCCAAGGTAGATCCTATTGCTTCATATTAACTTCTGTTCTAAGATAGATCTCATCATTTTAGGGTCTCAAATGGTCACTATTTCAAAAAGTCTATCAAAGGTTTTATTCCTTTTATTCTTTTAATTTGCTAGATTGATATCACAGGAGTCATAACTGATAACGCCCAGCTCACTGTATTACCTGATAATCATGGTAATGCTGAGCTTTGTTGAGCTTTTGGTTTATGCCAAGTGTGATGCTGGACGTGCTGCTCACCCCACTTACAAACTAACAGGAATCGGTGTTGTAGTATGTAGTAGTAGTAGTTAGCCACACTCCATTCATTTCTAGGGCATGTATTGCTTGGCCTTAGTCTAAGGCATTTCTGTGTTTACTCTTTCCTACTCTGACAGCCCTGCTAGGTAAGTGTGACTCTGTTATGCTCACTTAACATTGCCCCTTTAAGACGAGGGCGAAGTGACCTCCCAAAGGCCTATTAGGAAGCGTTAGATTGGGAGTTCCGTGCAGAACTGGAGAGTCTGCTTTCTTCCCCCTTCACTACACTGCCTCTCTCCTGTCATCCATAAAATATGCTGGGGGGAGCTCATCACTCTGTGGAATCTGTGCATTTTCTGATGTAACTCCCCTCAAAAACAAAACAAAACAAAAAAAAAAAAAACACTAAACTAAAAACTTGATCACAATTATATAAAGTCATGGCCTCACCATTTTATTCTCAGATAGAGTATAGTGTCCCACATGTGCAGTGGCTGCAGATGAGCAAATGAACACACAGATGTGTGGATCCTGTGCGTGCAGGGCGCGAGTCAGCGTGTCTGGTAGGTGTGCCCCGGTGTGGACTGTGGCACACAGCACCAGGCGAGAGTTGCCATGGCTGCCCATGGAGATCACCACCTGCAGGTCAAATGCCCAAGTGAAGCACTGTGCAGTTAGTTCTGAGCTAGGGGTCTCAGGCAGGGATAATGCTGTGTGACAGCATCGCAGGCACGCTCTATCACCAGTGCCAAGGTGGGCCTGGGAGCTTAGCCAGGCTGGGGTGTGCAGAGGAGGCTAAGCAGCGGAAGCACCTTGGGAAGGGGTCAGAGCAGGCTGAGGAGTTAGCACTGGGGGCCAAGGCAATGATGCGATCTCTGTGGGCCCTGGCTAGGACTAGAAGACTGGCCCTGCTCCAGATCAGAGCTCAGCGTGGGCCTTTGAAGGCCCGGGAAGGACGGAATCAGATTATAGGTAAAGCCACCTTTCTCTAGCGTAGTATTTGCTGTTGAGTGAATCTTTATGACAATTCATGCTAAGTAAGCACTGAGTAGCTTTTGCTCCTTTTTTCTTGTGCAATTATGATGCATTCTAAACTTTGAATTCTCTTTTTTCAGGAAGAAGAGTTAAGGAAAAGTGGAGAAGCTAAGTACTTTCACCTCAACGATGATCTCCACGTTCTCATCGAAGTGTTCGCTCCACCAGCAGAAGCTTATGCCCGCATGGGACATGCTTTGGAAGAAATAAAAAAGTTTCTTATCCCTGTGAGTACAGGTTGTTGTCTCTTTGTTTTAGTTGGACTTCAGGTTAAAGTCAGACTATGAAAGTAAGTTACATCCTAATCCCTGGTTTACTTTTTTAAGATAGGGTCTTTCAAAATTTCTAAGGCTGGGCTTAAACATGTGATCTTCCTGGCTCAACCTCCCAGGGTTCTGAGATTACAGATATGCCCATCATGCATAATGACTATGATTTTTTTATAATTAATTTTACTAGTACGATTTAGATTTATGTAATGATCCCATTCATCTTCAGTAATTTGTACCTTTAGCTGATAGCTTTAGTCCTCAGTTTTCCCATTTCCCTTCCTTCCCTTCAAGCCCTCTTCTCCTTATTTACAAAAGCTTTGTTTCAACTTTATTCTTCTTTACTCAGCTTTCTTCGCTGCCTTCCTTCCTCCCCCACCAACCAGATCTCCTTCCCACTTGAAACATTTTTTCCCATTTACCAGTATCTGTGATATAATTTAGTACTTATTTACACTTTCATTTTCTTACATCAGAGATACAGAGCAATATTTGTAAATGTGTGTCCACCTAAGATTACGGTCATAAGGTATATCCATTTACCTAGAAATGTTTCAAATGTATCCTCCTTTAAGATTGAATAAAGTAAATAGAAAATAAAAATAACATTATAAAAAAAGATTGAGTAATGGAGTAGTACTCTTGTATATTAAAAAAAAAATCTTTATCCATTCATTGGTTGATGGGCATTTGAGCTGTTTCTAAGATTTAGCTATTACAAACTGTGCTGCATGGGTGTGTGTACATTACTGTGGTGTGATATTTTTAATTCTTTAGGGAAGATAACAAGGTGGAAAGTAGCTGGGTCAAATGGATCCTCTAGTCCTAGTTTTCTAAAATATCTCTAGAATGATTTCCACAGTAGGTGAACCAGTCTGCGCTCTCACCAATAGTGGGCAAGGGTTCCTTTTCCCACAGCCCCACCAGTATTTGTTATTGGTTGATTGCTTAATAGTATCATTATTTCTGGACAGCAGTGGAATCTGAGCACTGTTTTAATTTGCGTCTCTTGATTGATGAAGTGATTTTGAACATTCTTTCACAACTTTTGAACATTCATAAAGTTACCTGCTATTTTAACTTCTTCATCGGAGACGCGCACATTCATTTCACTTCCCACATTTGGACTGGGTCTTTCCATGTGGGAGGTCTGACTTTTTCCAGTGCTTAATGTATTCTAGATATTAGTCCTTTCAGGAACAACTGGCACATTTTTGCCCCACTCTAGGTTGTATCTTCGCTCTTGGTTCCTTTTGCTCTACAAAAGCTTTCTAATAAGATGAGCCCCCAGGTGTTGATGGTTTACCATATTTCCCATTTGATCACTCATAGTGAGCTCTTGAAGTGTTTACCTTCTCAAAGAGTTCTACTTAGTCTTTCTTCCAGCAGATCTACTGTTTCTGATTACATTTAGAGCTTTGCACTATTTTGATTTTAGTTTAGTGCATGGTGAAGGACATGACACTAGTTTAAATCTTTTGCTTGTGGAAAACCATTATCCTGGTACCATTTATTAGATCAGCAATCTTCCAGTAAAAGTGTTTGGCCCCTTTTCAAAGATAACGTGGCTGAGTATGTGTGAAATCAGATCTGCATTGACACTATTGACATTATTGACGCTTGGGTCTTTTTTTTTTTTTGTATTGTTCTTCTCTAACAGCTTTTACTATTCTTGTGCTGACTTTCTGGAATCTTGACTATTATATACCTTGGTATAGATTTATTTTAGTTATATTTAGTTTAGTTAGTTATAGATTTATTTTAGTTATCACAGTTATTTTAGTTCAAATAGTTTAATTAGTTAATGGGTTTTATGACCTTACTTATCTGCATGTCAAATTCTTTTTCTGTACTTTGAGAGTTTTCTGCCTTGACTTCTGTGGACATAGTTTTTATATTGTTGGTGCTGTCTCATGTTTTCATTGACTCTGATCAATAGTGTTGTTGTTCTTTGCATGATTTTTTAGTTGTTGAATTGATTTTTCATGGTTCTGCTATTTTTAAGAAACCTTTCTTTTCATGATAATGAGCAGCAGTCTTTTAGATCTGATATTCTGTCCTCACTTTGATTCAGTCAGTTGTGTATACTCTAAATAGCATTTTTGATCTCTTAGATCTAAGTGTTTGCATTTGCTTCAAGAATTCCATTTCATTCCTATGTGGACATTCATGGTTTCCATCATTTTCCTAACCTCCTTTTTTATTTACTCATTTATTTTTTTTTAATCTGCTCTAGAGTCACTGACCAGGTCTTTTATTATGGGTATCATCTCTTCAGTTATCTGAGTAATTATTTCTGATTTGATTATTTTCTTTTTTTATGTATTTTTTAGTACAGAGTCTACAGGGTCTCACTACGTAGGTCAGACTCATAGTGATTCTCCTGTTTACAGCCTCCCAAGTGCTGGGATTACAGGCGCGCACCAGTACGCCCAGTCTCAATCGCCATCTCATGGCGCCACAGGGGTGGGGCCAGCACAGCAGGTCTGGGGATCGAATCCCCATTCCTGTCTCTGCTTCAGCAGGTGCTTTAATCTGCTGAGCTGTTTGGCCAGCCCCTCTGATTTGATTATTTTCTTGAATCTCACTTACTTGTTTTGTTATACTGCGGCTACCTCATTAGAGAGTCCCGGAGGGTGACTTTCAAATTGCTCCATTTCATTGCTCTCAGGATTTGCCTTCCTGAGCTGGAAATCTGAGGTTACGTCTTGTTTAAGTGTCTTCTCAGTTTCTTTTCTTTTAAAGTTTAATTTGTTTTCTATGTTGATGCTTGTAAATTTCTTGTGGTACATACTTTCCTCACTAGTAGCAAGGCTTCCCTAGGCAATGGCTATTCATCAAAGATGTGTTCTTGTTGTAACTTTTTTTTTTTTCCCTTGGTTTTGTGTCTGTCCCAGAGTCCTTCCTCGCCAGTTTATTAGCAATGAGAAGTTGCTATTTGAATTGGCACGCAGTCCTTTAGTACTGGGCTATGGTGATGGCTGTGACTTCAGAGAACCACAGTGTTGTCCTGCAGGGAGAATAAAGACAAGTGTCACATCCTGGCTAAAGAAGCACAGTTAGCTTTAACAGTAGCATCGAACATAGCCTAGAAGTTGACAAACTGGTAACTATTAATTTGTTATCTTTAGCAATAGGAACACAATCTACAGTTATACAGTAGTCCATTGACATTTCACAGTTTGACTTTTGCAGACTCACTGTTTCACAGACTTTCAAAAAATATTAATCTAAATTATGTATCATGGATTTTTTGCTATACGATGGGATTTTTTTGTGTGTGTGTTTTAGGGAAGGGTCTGCAGGGTATTCAGGGTCTCACTGTTAGACCTGATTTGTAGTGATCCACCTGTTTATAGCCTCCTAAGAGCTGGGATTATAGGCGTGCGCCACCACGCCCAGTCTCAATTGCCATCTCAGCACACCCTGGGGGCGGGGCCAGCATGGAAGGCCCTGGGGATCAAACCCCCAGCCCCTGCACCCGCTTGCAGGCTCTTTAGTCTGCTGAGCTATTTGGCTGGCCCTCTATATCATGGAATTTTGCAGTACTGTACAGGATATGTGTATTTTTAAAATAATGTATGTCTATGAGTTTAGAAAATGGTTAAGAATATTAGAAGTGTTTTTAAAAGTATGGCAAAGGTTTATAAGAGTGTGGGAAGGGTTTATACAGCCATAAATATATACAAATACTAAAATAAACATAACGTCACTACTTCACTGATTTTCACTTATTGTGGGGATGCCTAGAACGTAGCCTCCTCAATGAGTGAAGGACCTTGTATAACACAGTCCAGCATAAACCAATGACTTGGACACAGTGAGTTTCCCTCAAGCAGAGTGATTTTACCGTGTTGGGAGGCAGGGACCAGAGGGATTACAGGACAAAGCAGAGAGCTCGCTGCAGAGAAACACAGTATAAGGAAGGCTGGAGGACGGAGGACAATCACCAGACCTCCGGGGAACCAGAGAAGAGCACAGGAGAGAAAGAATGAAGGAGAAAGAGAAAGAATATCAAAGCAGACCAGAAAGACAAAAGACAGAGATCACTCATGTAATGTTAAAACAAAAAAAATCAAGGAAGTTCATGAGGAAGACAAAAAGTAAGTCAAGCAAGACAAGCAAATAATAAAAGTATAACCTAAACAGCACCCCCCAAAAAAAATTAAAAAAACCAAAGACAGAAAAAGAAGAAACAAGGCATAGAGAAAATAAGATAAAATGCTGGTGTCCACAGTTCTGCCTCAGCATGCCAGCGAGAGCCCACAGCTGTGCTGGATGATCCCGTCTTCCGCAGTCCTGTCAGTGCTGGGCGCAGGGCTGATCTTGGCCTGTGGATATGGGGGCTGAGCCAGTCTTCAGGCAGCCACTTTCTGGGTGTCCCTTGGTGGCCCTCCCGCTCCTTACCCTGTTTCTGTGCGCTGCTCTCCCAGTTGTCCTGATAACCTCAGACTGGAGTCAGGCCTGAGGAGAGACCTTGTGTCTGTCTTCTCTGCCCCTGGTCCCTGGGCAGTGGGGTGCTGTTGGTGGACTCGGTGCCCTTCCTACACTGTGGAGACAGCCCAAGCTACTAGGTCTCACTGCCGACTCTTGTTGTGGCAGGGTGAGTGCAGACTTCCACTTGTTGGCCCACCGTGGCCTAAGGCTGCTTAACTCCTGAGTCACTCTGTCACTCTGCTGGCAGAAGGGCAGGAGGCCTTGTGCTATTCTCTTCACCACCTTCACTGCTGCCACTGAAGTCCCTCAGCTTGTTGTCACTAGAGGTTCTGGTTAGGTCCTATAATGCACGACACAAGAAAGGGTAATAAAGCTTCCTGGCCCAGTGGAGAGGGAGCCACTCCCCTGATCAGCCCCGCTGGGAGTGCTGGAGCAATTTCCTGCCAGGCTGCAGTCTCCTCCATTTAGAGCAAGGCAAGATAGGTGAAGGGCTTCTCTCTTCAATCTATCCTGTGTGGCTT